TGGCGTCTGAAAACAGGATTACATATTTCAAGACCAGTCAAGACCACACTTCTGTTTATATTAACCTTATTGTTCACGTACCTTTTTTTACACCACAGATTTTTGTGAATGACAGAGCATTTCACTGTAATATGAGCTGTATTTTACTGTAGGACAGTTATGCTGTGTGCTAATGCATTGTAAACCTGCATCGTGAACAACACAGGCTCATCGTGGATCCTTTTCTACATTTCTGGAGAGCGCAAATTATGTACCCAGAGGTACGCCTGACTGCATTTCGTGTTTAAGACAGGTGGTGGTATGATGCCGCCGTTTACCTCCATATTGATGAATTTTTTTGCTGTTACCAGTTTGCCCAGTAGCTTGCTATGTACGTCAGCAGACTTGGACCTGAAGTGGAGTTGACCGTGATGACGAGGTTTGAGTCTGGCAAAGAACGGTTCCAGAAACCAGACACAACCAAAAAAAATAACAATTAAATTAAATAAACAACAGGCTGAAAACATGGTGAAATCACCTGGCGGCGTTTATATTGCGCCCTCTGGTGGATTTACATGAGAAATCAAGTGACGGCTTATCTTTTTCTAGATTGTTTTTGAAAACTCGATCGGTTGGGTTTAGAAAGGAGGTCAGTGGACAGCAAGCTGGCCAGGGGTGCTTTTTATAAAACCATCGTTGGCCAACTTAGGTCGCAACTTCGGTCATTACAAACATAAATCCGTCGCTCCAATGAACATTCGCAAACTGCGTCGCAAACTTGAGCACCTACAACTACACCTCTGGAGCTGTAGTTAGAAACAGAGTTCCTGGCTGTGTTCTATTCCCACTTATCCCCCCTATGCCCTATTCATTTAGAACATTCCAACATTCAAAGCTGGAATTATTAAATAATGAAGCATTAAGGTCATCTCTCTTAGATGTAAATTGCTTTCAAACTATTTCTACAGTTCAGTTTTAGCGAACTTCATGTTTACTGTTGTGCTCACTTCGCAGTGCACCTTGAAAACATTGATGTCATTTTGAACACAGCCTCATGACGAAAGCTATAAGTGACCTATTATTTAAAAGTGGAATTTATGTTACACCTCCAAATCTTGCAAAAAAAAAACAAAAAAAAAAACAGCACATGTTAATGCTTTTCATTTATATTAAGTATCTGTACTGTATATGACATAGGCCTGCTGGGTAGAACATTTCTGCAGTGGTTTACAAGTGTCAAATTGTAGAAGTAGACAAAAAACAAAAAACAACAACAATATCCTACTTAATAATATTAATAATTATTATTATTATTATCATCATCATCATTAATATTATTATTACAGTATGATTTTTTATTTCTAATAAATAATGAATATGAAATTTCATTTTATAATAAATAGCCTCATTATTTATGTATTTATTTATATGATTCATATATGATATTAGAATATGTATCAGCTTTTGTAAGTGATTTGATGTTTTAGAATAGGATGTGAAATGTTTAACTTCTCAATAATATTAGTAAAGCAAACACAGGCTCTATGTGCTGTTCACATATATTCCAGTTAATATGGAGAGTGAGTGCATGTTTTTACCAGATCTAATATTGGATTTTATTTTAAATGCATCTTTGTGTAATACAATATAATTTACACAAAGAAATGATGGGTTTTTCTTGAAAGAAGTAATTCCTCCACCCGTCATGGGCGTTTTACGTTATAACTAACGTGGTTCAAACGGTGGATCTGCGACAGAGAAACTATGAGGTTTGGGAAACACTCGTCACTACATCGCTCTTTTTCTAAATGATGCATCGCACTATGATAGTTCAGTCACGAGTTACGTCGTTGTTTGGGAAACGCACCCCTGGTTGGCTGAAGTGTATATTGCGCCCTCTGGTGGATTTACGTGAGAAGAGGACACGCGGGGAAAATTTGCAACACAGGCTCACTGTGAACTAGTATCCTCGTGTACAATTCAGGAAAGCATGAATTATGTAGCCAGAGCTACGAATAGCTGCATTTCATCTTTAAACGAATGCTATGGGTGACTGCTTCTGTTTCATTTCACGCTACCAGCTGTCTGCTGACCTCCATGTGGACAGCTTTTTTGCTGTTACCAGTTTGCCTAGTGCCTCTCCATGTTTTTCAGTGGACTTAAGATGCAGAGTCGACTGCGACAAGGTCCAGCGAAGAACGGTTCCAGAAAAATAAAAAAATACAAATAAACAAAGAACAGGGTGTAAATAACAGGGTAAAAACATGGTAAGATCTGAAAACGTGGTAAAAATCAGGCGGTTGCGAGGGCTATTCTTTTACTGGATGGGTTTTAAAAAACACTGTCGGTTGGGTTTAGGGAAGGGGGTGGGCTGGGTGATCAGTCAGTCAGTCCACAGCGGCCTCTGGTGGATTTACGCCAGAACAGCAGGCGCAAATGACACTGTCACGAGAGAAATTTGAGATCTGTAAAAGCGTACACTGGGCCCTCTGGTGAATTCATGAAAACAAAACCTTAACAAAACAAAAAAAAAAAAGGACCTGCTGGGATGTATTTTGTGCTCTCCAGAAATGTATACAGGGGTATGTTTTTAGAATGAGGCTGGGTTAGAAATTTGAGATCATCAAAAATGATACACAGCGGCCTCTGGTGGATTTGCTGTGAGCAGACGTACCTCTGGTTATGTATTTCACTGACTCCAGAAATGTAGACCTGGGTACGTATCCATATGAGTCTGGGTTGATTGTGTAAATTACTGTATATTTTACAGTACAGATATGCATACAGTTCTATAAATAGACATACAGCAAAATAAATGATGCTGTAAATGTAAACACAGTATTTTTGCTGTAATTGATTCTTAGTAAGTTCCTGGAGAACTGCTGCCAGTAAGCTACTGTAGATTCTGCAGGAAATTGGTAACTGTTTTGAGTTCAGTTTAGAAAACGAGTGCTTGATTTCAGTACTGGGTTTAAAGTTACATTTAAAAGTAAAATATTACAATATTAATCATTAAAAAAATGCAAAAATAAAATGACGTCCTTTCAACTGACTTTCATTAGTTACTATAAATGACATAAGATTGTAATGTATGACTATTAAAGATCCCTTTACCCAACACTGACTTTTATGCAACTATATGTGTTACGCTGACTGATGATGGACACGGTTTCAACATTATATTGTGAACTTTTGATTTTAACTTGGTTTTTGTCGTCTAAATGTGAATTTTGTCATTGTTTTTGGAGCACATTAGATTATAGATAATAATAGATATAGTCATTAAGACCGACGTACTGATACTGACATCTAAAAACATTATTTAAGTTTGATGGAAACAGTTAAATTCAATACTGCATACTTTATAGACTTAGAAATGTGTGTGTGTGTGTTTTTTTTAAATAATGTGTTAAGAAATAATTCTCACTATTATCTTTAGGACACACTTTTAAAGTGCAATATGTTTCGGTGTACATACATTTCTGTAATAAACTTTAATCTCGTAAGAGGTTATTTATGCAGTCGTAACTGTAGAAAAAATACTTTAATAACACTTTACTTGAAGGGGTGTTCATCATCAGACTGTCACGAAACTTTTATAATTATGTCATGAATGTGAATGAATTTTATGCATGCTTATAACAACTGTTATCAGTTATCAAGTGCCATTCACTCACTAATGACATTTTAAATGCAAAGATGACATTGTTTGCTATGACATCTTGACATAAACAAATACATCACAACCTGTTTTTGACTTTGTCATGACCACTTGACGTTACCAAGACTACAAAACTTGTCATAAATCCTTCATAAACATGATTGCCATTAGGCATTATAAATATGTCATGAATATTTATAACAGCGTCATTAATATTAAATATTATTATTAAATTAATTATTTATAACAATGATAATATATATTTTTGACTTCTACTATAGTGGTACAAGTTCAAATGATTTGACAGAGTAACGACACTTGAGACATTTTAATGACAATGTGTGGAGTTTGCATGTTCTCCCCGTGTTGGCGTGGGTTTCCACCGGTTGCTCCGGTTTCCCCCACAGTCCAAACACATACGCTATAGGGGAATTGATGCACTATAGGGACTATTGTTGCGCTATAGGGACTTTTGATGTGCTACAGGGACTATTGATGCGCTATAGGGACTATTGATGCACTATAGGGACTATTGATGCACTGGGGGGTCGATTGATGCGCTATAGGGACTATTGATGCAATATAGGGACTATTGATGCGCTAAAGGGATGATTAATGCGCTATAGGGACTATTGATGCACTGTAGGGATGACTGATGCGCTATAGGGACTATTGATGCAATATAGGGACTATTGATGCGCTAAAGGAATGATTAATGCGCTATAGGGATTATTGATGCACTGTAGGGTCACTGATGCGCTATAGGGACTATTGATGCAATATAGGGACTATTGATGCACTGTAGGGTCGATTGATGCGCTATAGGGACTATTGATGCACTGTAGGGTCGATTGATGCGCTATAGGGACTATTAATGCACTGTAGGGTCGATTGATGCGCTATAGGGACTATTGATGCAATATAAGGACTATTGATGCGCTAAAGGGATGATTAATGCGCTATAGGGACTATTGATGCACTGTAGGGTCGATTGATGCGCTATAGGGACTATTGATGAAATATAGGGACTATTGATGCACTGTAGGGTCGATTGATGCGCTATAGGGACTATTGATGCACTGTAGGGTCGATTGATGCGCTATAGGGACTATTGATGCAATATAGGGACTATTGATGCACTGTAGGGACGATTGATGCGCTATAGGGACTATTGATGCAATATAGGGACTATTGATGCACTGTAGGGACGATTGATGCGCTATAGGGGAATTGATGAACTAAATTGGCCATAGTGTATGAGTGTGTATAGGTGTTTCCCAGTACTGGGTTGCAGCTAGAAGTGCATCCACTGTGTAAAACATATGCTGGAATAGTTGGCGGTTCATTCTGCTGTAGTGATCCCTGATGAATAAAGGGACTAAGCTGTAGAAAGCCGAATGAATGAATGGAGCAGGTCTGGTCTTGACGTGGTCTTGATTGCGACACTACATAAGCGATTGACTTGTTTACCGTACGGAAACCTGTCCGTCTGCCGCTGGGAACGTGAGCACAGTGTTGCGAGATCCGGCTGCTACTGGGCTATAAAGCAAAACAAAATAGTTTAATTTAAAGCACCAAGCCAAACCAAATTGTGATATGTAAACCAAATAAAGGATAACGTTGGTTGATTGTACTCCGAAGCACCAGAAAGGAACGTTTATCAGGGTGAAAAACGGAAAAATCGTGAGGGAAAAACAAACGATGATGCTAGGTTTTGCTTGCTTGTATCCATACATCCAGATGGAGAAATAAACGTTGTGCTTTTCCGACTGTTCAATCCCTCAGCCACGTCCACAGAGAAGGTTTATTCTATTGAGCAAATCCTCATTACTCTTCTGTCCAGGTTTGTGGTTGTTTCATGACATTATTCCGTGTTGATCCAGTGTTGTGCCTTCTTAGCGGTCTGAAAGCATGAATCTTTGGTGATTAAATATTAAGGGACGCGTCTTGAGTCTTTTTCCTCATGTGGAACGTCACCTCTGATGAACGAATACGGTAAAAAACAGCGTGACGCTCAATGGCCATATACTGGAGGCGGTGTGTGCGGACGCTCCTCTGATAGCTGCGGAAAAAAGAGACAAAGAGTCAACATTTAAACCAGATAGCTAGATCAACACCATCACGTCGGTTGCCGTGTGTTTGCTAGGGAGTCCTAAGTTGTGTTCTATGGTTGGTCAATTGAACTGATGTATTCTGATTGTAAGTATGTTGCTATGTAGTTGCTAAGGTATTATAAGTGGTGTCCAGGGTATTGAGGTATTCTGATTGTTTTTTAGTCTGTTGCTATGTAGTTGCTAAGGTATTATAAGTGGTGTCCAGGGTATTGAGGTATTCTGATTGTTTTTTAGTCTGTTGCTATGTGGTTGCTAGGGAATTCTAAGTTGTGTTCAGTGGTTGGTATAACAACAAATCAGAACAATCATATATTCAGATTGGTTGATAGAATGATGCTATGCAGTTGCTAGGGTATTATAAGTGGTATCCAGGGTACTGAGGTATTCTGATTGTTTGTTAGTTTGTTGATATGTGGTTGCTAGGGAATTTTAAGTTGTGTTCAGTGGTTGGTCAATTCACAGTGGTATTCAGTGGTTGGTCTAACAACAAATCAGAACATTGATGTATTCTGATTGGTTGATAGAAAGTTGCTATGTAGTTGCTAGGGTATTATAAGTGGTATCCAGGGTATTGAAGTATTCTGATTGTTTGATAGCCAGCTTCCATGTGGTTGCTAAGGAGTTTTAAGTTGTGTTTGGTGGTTGATCTAACATTAAATACAAATACTATTCTGATTGGTTGTTAGAATGTTGCAATGTAGTTGCTAGGGTATTATAAGTAGTGTCCAAGGCTATTTATGTATTCTGATTGTTAGTTTGTTGCTATGTGGTTGCTAGGGATATTTCTCAGTGGTGTTCAGTGGTTGGTTTGACAACAAATCAGAACACTGATGTATTCTGATTGGCTGTTAGAAAATTGCCATGCAGTTGCTAGGTTATTATACGTGGTGTCCAGGGTATTCTGATTGTTTGTTAGTCTGTTGCTATGGGGTTGCTAAGGAGTTCTAAGTTGTGTCCAGTGATTGGTCCAACAACAAAATCAGTACGCTAACATATTCAGATTGGTTGTTAGAATGTTGCTATGTAGTTGCTAGGGTATTATAAGTGGTATCCAGGGTACTGAGTTATTCTGATTGTTTGTTAGTCAGTTGCCATGTGGTTGCTTAGGAGTTAAAAGTTGTGTTCAGTGGTTGGTCTATAACAAATCATAACATTGATATATTCTGATTGGTTGTTAGTATGTTGCTATGTAGTTGCTGGGGCAGGGATTTCCAGAGGGTGTCCTGCAAAGTTTAGTTCCAACCATAATCAGACACACCTGGGCTAGCTAATCAAGCGCTTACTGGGCATTCTAGAAACTTCCTTGCTGGTGTGTTGAAGCAAGTTGAAAACAAGTTGAAGCAAAAATCCGCAGGACGCCGGCCCTCCAGGACCGAGTTTGGACACCCCTGTGCTAGGGTATTATAAGTGGTATCCAGGGCATTGAGGTATTCTGATTGTTTGATGATCAGTTGCCATGTGGTTGCTAAGGAGTTCTAAGCTATAATCAGTTGTTGGTCTAACAACCAATCAGAATATTGGTATACCGGTTGGTTGGTAAACATGTTGCTATGTTGTTGCTAGGGTATTATAAGTGGTATCCAGGGTATTGAGGTATTCTGATTGTTTGTTAGTCTGTTGCTATGGGGTTGCTTAGGAGTTGTGTTAAGTGGTTGGTCAATTCACAGTGGTGTTCAGTTGTTGGTCTGACAACAAATCAGAACATTGATGTATTCTGATTGGTTGATAGAAATTTGTTAAGTAGTTGCTAGGCTATTATAAGTGGCATCCAGGGTATTGAGATATTCTGATTGTTTAATAGTCTGTTGCTATGAGGTTGCTAGGGAGTTCTAGGTTGTGTTCGGTGGTTGGTCGATTCAACTGATGTATTCTGATTGGTTGTTAGAACATTGCTATGTAGTTGCTCGGGTATTATAAGTGGTGTCCAGGGTATTGAAGTGTTCTGATTGTTATTTTGTTGCTATGTGGTTGCTAGGGAATTCTAATTGGTGTTCAGTGGTTGATCAATTCACGGTGGTGTTCAGTATTTAGTCTAACAAGAAATCAGTGCACTGACGTATTCTGATTGGTTTTCAGAACATTGCTATGTAGTTGCTAGGGTATTATAAGTGGTGTCCAGGGTATTAAGGTATTCTGAATGTTTGATGATCAGTTGCCATGTGGTTGCTAAGCAGTTCTAAGTTGTGTTTGGTGGTGGGTCAGTTCTCAGTGGTGTTCAGTGGTTGGTCAAATCTGAACACTGACGTATTCTGATTGGTTATTAGAACGTTGCTAGGGTATTATAAGTGGTGTCTATGGTATTGGGGTATTCTGATTATTTTATAGCCTGTTGCCATGTGGTTGCTAAGGAGTTCTAAGTGATCTTACTTGGGTAATCTGATATGCGTTGCTATGCAGTTACTGTTGTGTTTTGGGTGGTGTGTTCTTGGGGTTGCTATGGCAATTACTGGGCTATTCTGATTGGTTGTTAGTTCATTGCTATGCTAGGGTGTTTACATATAGCCCCCAGTGGCCTGTTTAGCGATTTCTCCAGTACATTAAGCAGCAGGTGTAAATGCACCCCAGATACTCTGTGTTCACTGAAGACACTGATTTGATTTGAGGTAATAGCCGCTTTGCTTCACAAACAGCACTAAAGCTCCTCTGTAATGTCCTCATGTTGTTCATATATGGTTGGTCATAAGTGTCTGAGCTCTGTAATTCACCAGCATCCTCCAGTGCGCATCGCTGCAGTGTTTTATCACTCTCTAGATATACACCACGCTTGTATTTATGACACAAACACATCTTATAGACGGATCAATACTGAACGTCTCCTAGAGTCAAGGAGCTTTGGTAATAGTGGAAAACCTGATGTGCTGTAATATTCCAGCCTAATAATAATGATTAACACATAACTTCAGCAGACGGGTACCGCCGTATTCAAGCTTTTTTCATCTGCTCTCCTGTTTTCCAGCACCTCTCGCTCTCAGCCACACGCTAGTCAATTACCTGCCCTCATTTCTGCTTTCTCACTGCTCGTTCTCGTGTAATTACTCAGCTCTCCTGGACTAAATTGCGCACATGCAATTAAGGCCGGATTGCCATGGAGATGCATGCGCAATACATACGATTGGACGGAGGGTCAGGACACTCCCCCTCCTCCAGCGTGACATCATCAATGGCGATGTCCCCCTCGATTCCGGGGCCGCGGATGCCCTCAAATATTACCTGCATGATGGAAACAAACAAATAAAATCTGAAGGGCCTCTTCTGGAGTCTAAAACCAGTTCCATATGCACTGAGTTCTCTTTATTTCACATTAAAGCACAGCATTGAGACTTGTAGTCTTTTATATGAAGCTGAATGGTTTAGAAATCATTATTGCAATATGCAGATTTATGCAGAAAATATTCTGACTGTACTGCTATTTTCTTGGAAATATTATATGTAAATCCTAGTGGGAACCTTAATGTCAAGACGATATAAACAATGCTAATTGATTTATTGCTAATTGACTAACTTGATGTAAATAAGACATCAAATTGACATCTAACATTGGTGTCAAAAACACGTCTAATTTTAGATGTCTGTTTGACGTCTTTTTGACATCAAGGTCTTTCGCATGTGTTGTAGGGATACAAAATCCAGAGTACATGTCATTTGAGGCTTGCAGATTGAAGAAAACTCTTATATTACAATCCATTATGTGTCTTTATTTTGGTCATCAAAAAAGCATCAATGTGTGGACGTCAAATAGACGTTTTTTGACATCAAACTTATTTGCATTGTTGACGTGTTTTTTATGTCATGCTTCATCTGCTCAATTTGACATCAAGGGTGTTTACATGCATTGTAGAGTTGCAAAATCTATACTGAAATGAGATTTTTCACCTTGTTTCTATTAGAATATGTTTTATGTGATTAATTTGGTGGTCAAAGTGACATCGATGTGTTGATGTCAAGGATTTGATATCAAATCAGTTGGCATTTTTTATTTGTTTTTTGTTGTTGTCATGATTGATGTCAATTGCCAAGATGCCCACAGAATTATCAGTTTACACTCACCGGCCACTTTATTAGGTACACCTGTCCAACTGCTCGTAACGCAAATTTCTAATCAGCCAATCACATGGCAGCAGCACGCTGCATTTAGGCATGTAGACATGGTCAAGAGGATCTGCTGCAGTTCAAAGTGAGCATCAGAATGGGGAAGAAAGGGGATTTAAGAGACTTTGAACGTGGCATGGTTGTTGCTGCCAGACGGGCTGCTCTGAGTATTTCAGAAACTGCTGATCTACTGAGATTTTCACGCACAATCATCTCTAGGGTTTACAGAGAATGCTCCGACAAAGAGGAAATATCCAGTGAGCGGCAGTTCTGAAGGCGCAAATGCCTTGTTGATGAGGCCAGAGGTCAGAGGAGAATGGCCAGACTGGCTCCAGCTGATAGAAAGGCAACAGTAACTCAAATAAGCACTCGTTACAACCGAGCTCTGCAGAAGAGCATCTCTGAACACACAACACGTCCAACCTTGAGGCGGATGGGCTACAGCAGCAGAAGAGCACACCGGGTGCCGCTCCTGTCAGCTAAGAACAGGAAACTGAGGCTACAATTCACACAGGCTCACCAAAACTGGACAATAGAAGATTGGAAAAGTGTTGCCTGCTCTGACTAGTACCAATTGAGCATGGTGTCAATGCCACAGCCTACCTGAGTATTGCTGCTGACCATGTCCATCCCTTTATGAGCACAGTGTCTCCATCTTCTGATGGCTACTTCCAGCAGGATAACGCAGCATGTCATAAAGCTCAATCATCTCAGACTGCTTTCTTGAACATGACGATGAGTTCACTGTACTCAAATGGCCTCCACAGTCACCAGAGCTCAATCCAATAGAGCAGCTTTGGGATGTGGTGGAACGGGAGATTGGCATCATGGATGTGCAGCCGACAAATCTGCAGCAACTGTGTGATGCTATCATGTCAATATGGAGCAAAATCTCTGAGGAATATTTCCAGTACCTTGTTAAATCTATGAAGGATTAAGGCAGTTCTGAAGGCAAAAGGGTCCAACCCGGTACTAGTAAGGTGTACCTAATAAAGTGGCCAGTGAGGGTATTTTTGATTCATTTGAAATGCCTCTGCTGCCTAGAAGTGTTTGATTCTTTCAAATGTGTTCATGCTGAATGTGTTATTTTCTACAAGTTAACTTACCTGGAAGGATGAAACCGGATGGATGCTAATTTTGGCCTGTCTCCATCGGTCCCCTTGGTTCCCGCTGAGGGACCAGACTGGACCTGCATCTGAAGTCGACTGACCTTTCTGCTTCACGAATGCATTCAGAGAGCCTGCGGGAAAAACACAATCAATTAATTTAACGAGCGCTGCATGACAGATCAACTCAACACTGCGAGATCAACTCAAACTGTCTAACAATCAATCCAAATACTGACAGACAGCTAGAGGACTCAGTGGGATTTATATATATAGCTGAAACTATGTGTTACTTACAAATGCTTGCGGTTGAAACATTACAGAGGACCTATAATGCCAAACTCACTTTAATAAGGGCTTTAAACACAGTTGTGTGGCAGCAATGTGTGAATATACCCAGTTCTGATCTATATTCTTATCACACACCAGACTTTACACTTTTATTCTGTTTATATTCTGATCACACACACACACACCAAACTTTACACTTTTATTCTGTCTATATTCTGATCACACACACCAAACTTTACACTTTTATTCTGTCTATATTCTGATCACACACACCAAACTTTACACTTTTATTCTGTCTATATTCTGATCACACACACCAAACTTTACACTTTTATTCTGTCTATATTCTGATCACACACACCAAACTTTACACTTTTATTCTGTTTATATTCTGATCACACACACCAAACTTTACACTTTTATTCTGTCTATATTCTGATCACACACACCAAACTTTACACTTTTATTCTGTCTATATTCTGATCACACACACACACCAAACTTTACACTTTTATTCTGTCTATATTCTGATCACACACACACACCAAACTTTACACTTTTATTCTGTCTATATTCTGATCACACACACCAAACTTTACACTTTTATTCTGTCTATATTCTGATCACACACACCAAACTTTACACTTTTATTCTGTCTATATTCTGATCACACACACCAAACTTTACACTTTTATTCTGTCTATATTCTGATCACACACACCAAACTTTACACTTTTATTCTGTTTATATTCTGATCACACACCAAACTTTACACTTTTATTCTGTCTATATTCTGATCACACACACCAAACTTTACACTTTTATTCTGTCTATATTCTGATCACACACACCAAACTTTACACTTTTTTTCTGTTTATATTCTGATCACACACACCAAACTTTACACTTTTATTCTGTTTATATTCTGATCACACACACCAAACTTTACACTTTTATTCTGTCTATATTCTGATCACACACACCAAACTTTACACTTTTATTCTGTTTATATTCTGATCACATACACCAAACTTTACACTTTTATTCTGTCTATATTCTGATCACACACACCAAACTTTACACTTTTATTCTGTCTATATTCTGATCACACACACCAAACTTTACACTTTTATTCTGTTTATATTCTGATCACACACACCAAACTTTACATTTTATTCTGTTTATATTCTGATCACACACACCAAACTTTACACTTTTATTTTGTTTATATTCTGATCACACACACCAAACTTTACACTTTTATTTTGTTTATATTCTGATCACACACACCAAACTTTACACTTTTATTCTGTCTATATTCTGATCACACACACCAAACTTTACACTTTTATTCTGTTTATATTCTGATCACACACCAAACTTCACACTTTTATTCTGTGTTTATTCTGATCACACACACCAAACTTTACACTTTTATTTTGTTTATATTCTGATTACACGCACCAAACTTTACACTTTTATTCTGTTTATATTCTGATCACACACACCAAACTTTACACTTTTATTCTGTTTATATTCTGATCACACACACCAAACTTTACACTTTTATTCTGTTTATATTCTGATCACACACCAAACTTTACACTTTTATTCTGTCTATATTCTGATCACACACACCAAACTTTACACTTTTATTTTGTTTATATTCTGATTACACGCACCAAACTTTACACTTTTATTCTGTCTATATTCTGATCACACACCAAACTTTACACTTTTATTCTGGCTATATTCTGATCACACACACCAAACTTTACACTTTTATTCTGTTTATATTCTGATCACACACACCAAACTTTACACTTTTATTCTGTTTATATTCTGATCACACTCCAAACTTTACACTTTAAGTGTTTTTACACATATTTTAAGTCGTGTTGTTATCCTCTTATTATGACCTCTCTCTCCTTATATTGAGCCGCTGTGAGGAATAAACTGTGCTCTGTGTGCTGATGCTGACGTGACCTGATGAAGGAACAGTGTTTTCTTCATGATCAAGTGTTTGCTTCAAGCTCTGGGATTTAATCCAGCAAATGAACTCAGAGTGAAAGAAGTGTGAAGGCAAACTCTGACGTGTGTGATTAATTAGCTGTGAGCCGAGAGCAGGTAATGTGCTTTCTGTCTGTCAGGAGAACACACGTGTTTAGATCATCAAGGCTCATTCACACGCCAGCAGAACAGCATCACCTTCATCTCTGGGGCTTCTGCTTTAAATGCCTCAGGATGTGGAAGAAAATCCAGAGGAATAAATTGTGCATTTCTGAATAAAATCTGAGCGCATTATAAAAAAAAACAACAACCCTAAAAATACTGCAGCTACCCACATGAAAAATCAACACAGTCGCTTACAGTCGATGTGTTTTACTTTAGTCTGTTGTGGTGATTCTCTGTTGCTATGGTAACACAACCGTTATAGTAATAGATCTGTGGTGGTGATTCTATAGTTGCTATGGTAATACAATAGCTATAGTAATTAATCTGTTGTGGTGATTCTACAGTTGTTATGGTAACAACAGGAACTATAGTAAGTAATATGTTGTGGTGATTCTAGTTGCTATGGTAACACAACAGCTATAGTAATTGATCGGTTGTGGTGATTCTATAGTTGCTATGGTAACACAACAACTTTAGTAATTGATCTGTTGTGGTGATTTTATAGCTGCTATGGTAACACAACAGCTATAGTAATTGATCTGTTGTGGTGATTCTATAGTTGCTATGGTAACAACAACAGCTATAGTAATTGATCTGTTGTGGTGATTCTATAGTTGCTATGGTAACACAACAGCTATAGTAATTGATCTGTTGTGGTGATTCTATAGTTGCTATGGTAACACAACAACTTTAGTAATTGATCGGTTGTGGTGATTCTACAGTTGCTATGGTAACACAACAACTTTAGTAATTGAGCTGTTGTGGTGATTCTATAGTTGCTATGGTAACACAACAACTTTAGTAATTGATCTGTTGAGGTGATTCTATAGTTGCTATGGTAACACAACAACTTTAGTAATTGATCTGTTGTGGTGATTCTACAGTTGCTATGGTAACAGCAACAACTATAGTAATTGATCTGTTGTGGTGATTCTACAGTTGCTATGGTAACACAACAGCTATAGTGAATGATCTGTTGTGGTAATTCTATAGTTGCTATGGTAACACAACAACTTTAGTAATTGATCTGTTGTGGTGATTCTACAGTTGCTATGGTAACAACAACAACTATAGTAATTGATCTGTTTTGGTGATTCTATAGTTGCTATGGTAACACAACAGCTATAGTGAATGATCTGTTGTGGTGACTCTTAAGTTGCTATGGTAACACACCAACTATAGTAATTGATCTGTTGTGGTGATTCTACAGTTCCTATGGTAACACAACAGCTATATTAATATAAATAAATGACCCATTTGTGTACGTATGAGTGTATGCGTGTACACAATAGTGTCTGAGTTTGTGTATGCACGATTGTGTGTGTGTTTGTGTGTGTGCTGTGGTCTTACCAATGTGTTTGCCGTACATGTGGTAGTAGAAGCTGAAGCAGTAAGCAGGAGGGCTGGTGATGCTGTAGGGATTCTTGGGTGCGACGTTAAACACGGGACTCAGCAGACGAGCCGTATCGCCTTCCTTACGAGGTCTGGACGTCTCAATGTACATGTAGAAACCTGTTCATACACATAAAATCATGGATTGGAAAAATCGGATTGTCTCCAGAACAAACCACTGTTATACAATGACTTGCCTAATTACCCTAACTTTACCCTAATTACCCTAGTGAAGCCTTTACATGTCACTGTAAGCTGAACACTAGTGTCTTGAAGAATATCTAGTCTAATATTATTATCAAAGAGAAACTAAATCAGTTACTAGAGATGAGTTATTAAAACTATTAAGATTAGAAATGTGCTGAAGAAATCTGCTCTCTGTTAAACAGAAATTGAACAAGAGTTTAAATTCAACAGGAGTAGCTGATAAGTCTGACTTTAATTGTATATATTATATATTTCTGATTCATAATTAATATTGCGCAGCACCAATCGTGTTGTAAGCTTGTAAACTGCAGTCTTTTCCTCTCTTCTCCTCTTCGGCGTCTCTCATCGAAAGGTGTGAAAAGCCTCCAGCCAAAATCAAACACAATCTCCGCTCTCCAGTTTGACGAGTGATAATTAAAGTCTCCGCTGGACTCTTGACGCTAATGAAACGGCGGACCGCGAGGAATCACGAGGGTGATTAAACTGAAGGTATTATTTACACCGGCAGCTCCGTGTGTCCCGCCGGAGCGTCCCGAGGATAACAGAGTCTGAAAACCAGCTCATCCGCTTCATTCACTGCTACAGCTTACACACAACTCAAAAACAAATCATCACTATTATTTTAAAATAATACTTCCTACATGCCTTTAACCTTTTCCAACACATTTTAAACAATCCTCGATCATTAATCAGGGTTCATACACAGTTTAACTACTAAATTCCATGACTTTTCCATGATTTTTCCAAGACTTTCAAATGTTTCATGTAATGTCTACATATGCATGGTAAAAAAAAACAATACATGTTCAAATTTATTACAGCATATCGTAAAACATGCAACAATCTATTTAATTTCAATTTATATTCATACATTCATTTATTCATTTTATTTTCGGCTTAGTCCCTTTATTAATCAGGGGTCGCCACAGTGGAATGAACCAACCCCCTTATCCAGCATAAGTTTTATGCAGCGGATGCCCTTCCAGCTGCAACCCAGTGCTGGGAAACATCCATACACACTCATACACTAAGGACAATTTAGTTGATCAGTTCCCCTATAGCGCATGTGTTTAGACTGTGGGGGAAACCGGAGCACCCGGAGGAAACCCACACCAACACGGGGAGAACATGCAAACTCCACACAGAAACACCAACTGACCCAGCCGAATGAAGCAGATGAAGCTGGATAGGTATTATAATTTTTTGGACAAAATTAATATAAACTAAATAAATTATGACCTGGAGAAAATCTGACCTGCGCCTGAAACACCTGCAGGTGCGCATTTACAGCCAAAATTATATTAAAACATGTTTATTATCAGCATAAAACATGTGCTAACATCTCAGACCTGTAGCCAGGGGGGTTCGGGTGGTTCGGAAGACCCACCCCTCACTGACAAAGGTCCAGAATTTGACCCAAATGAGCTCATTTGTCCTATTTTCATTCTATTTTGACTGCTGTGCCTTCATAATGAAAATAATCCATCGAAAAAGATTTTTTTTTACCAAAGAGGCTAGAAAAAATCTGAAGAATTAATTATTATTGTATTATTATTATTATTATGTTTAAATTATTATTTTTATTGAACTGGCTAAACTGTGACTGAGGACAGTTGAATGTGCTGACCAGTTTGTTTTTTGTCTAATAAATGATAGCTTTGTTACTTTAAAACTTTAACAGATTGCTATTTTTTCCTAATGACATATGATGTAATAAATTTGTATTTTAAAAATTTGTCTTGTTTGAATTTTTTTTTATTGCTAATTTTTAGGAAATATTTTAAGTACATCAAAAAGTGTGGTTATGATGACATCTGACTAGCAAATCCAGCAAAAAAGTCACTAAAATGCAGTATTTAAATCTCATAGTTAAACAGAAACTGAGGCGTATAACTGCAAAAAGGTGCACTTTTTGAGAAAAAAAAGAGCCAGCCCTTACACCAGGCTGGCTACGGGCCTGTGAGGGGTATTCTGTATTTCTGCACTTCAGTGTTACAGGTGTGTGTCCTCACCCTGTCTGGCCCCGCTGCGGTCCCCGCTGGGCCCCGTGTTGGGAGTGTATTTGGTGTCTCGGGTCGCAGCGCTGTGTCTCGTCCAGTCGAAATCATCATTCTTATCCTGAGTGAACAAGCAGACGGGCTCCTCCTCAAAACTACACACAAACTCCCCTGCACAGAGAGAGGAAGAAGAAAACTGATGACACACACACACACACACACGTAATGATTTTACATTCAAAACTGAGCTGAAGGACTGGCGTTGTACCCTAAATGTGCCTTCATGAAAATATGAAAATAAAGAATTTATTTCTAATGTGATTTTAGAAAGAGTCACTAAACTCCAGGATGTAAAGCAGTGTTTAGCTGCCCGGGTCATTTGTGAGCTGTAAGTCTAAAGGAGTGTGATAATAAAGACATGCTGGTTTGGTGATTTCCAGCAGTAAACTGGCGTGAGTCTGCTCTCCACACTGACTCTGATCTGCAGTGCTGGACTGATTGTGATTCAGCAGCGTTTGTTTGTTGATAAATATTCATTGATTTTATTGAAACGCAGCGGAGCAGCGGAGCGCCTGACCTTCAGCAGCAGCAGCAGATACACTGATCTCAGAGTCAAGCCTGTTTAGACCAGCAGATACTGTTAGACACAGCTATAACATACACAAACACACACACACATGCACAGACTCACACACACACACACTAATGCAGGAGACCAGGAATACACACATCTAGAGGACACACACGACTATCACTAAATATGACTGATTACACACACACACACACACACATGCACGCGCACACACACAAAGAAAGAAAGATGAGAGGAAAGGAAAAGTAAGCACTTACTCAGGTGTGGATTGGTTGGTGCTGTGAAAACAAAAGATGAAAAGATTCATTGGATCAGATTATGAACGAGAATAAACTCATCTGTGCTTTAATTATTAATATCCTTTTATTTTAAAACTTCAGTTTAAACTAAACCTAATGTGCCCGAACAAACGGACACACTGACATCATCATCATCATCATCAGCAGGAAGTGATGCAACGTGCAGAAATACAGCAGAGTGAAGAAGAGCTGCTCCTTACATCAATAACTCATAGACAAACACACTGACACACACACACACACACACACACACACACACACAAACACTCACGCACGAGCACGCACAAACACATGCCCACGCCCGCGCACACACACACACACACTCCTGAACTCTGGAATAGCCTTCCTGATAATGTCGAGGCTCAGACACACTCTCTCAGTTCAACACTAGAGTAAAGACCTATCTGTTTAGTAAAGCACACACTCAGTGCAGCACTCAGCAGTATGATGCATGATTGTGCTCCACACAGGTTTCTGCATCTCGTTTATATACACTATGAACAGTAGCTATGCTAATTATTCTCTTTATTCTCTATTTTCACCTGAGGATACTCATCCCGAGACCCTCAGAGACTATGCAGCGCCACTGATTCGATCCAAGACCAGCGACGAGATGATCCCAAGGTTTCCATAATCCTGGACCAGGCCGTATCCTGAGCAGCTGCTGTGGTGGTCATGGAGGAGTGGAGAGCATGAAACTGATTTCTGTGACACTCCAGGGACAGACGAGTCTTCGCTAAGGTCCAGCATTCTCCAGCCTTCAGCACCTAGACTGCAGCTCTACACAAGACGTTTGGCCAGAGGAGAAATGGTGGTGCCCAACTGAGCCTGGTTTCTCTCCAGGTTTTTCAATTCTTCACTTTCGCCAATTAATGAAGTTTGTTCCTCACCACTGTTGCCACTGGCTTGCATGGTTCAGGATCTGTAGAGCTGTGCATGGCTGGATTTGCTCTTCAGTGTTTGGGCTCTCAGTAGTAAATAGTAAACCATGCTGAACTGAACTGAACTGAACTTAAACTCTGAGAACTGAACTACACTGTTTACATTCACTATGATCTTCTATGTTCAGCTGCTTTGAAACACTCAACACTGTAAAAGTGCTATACAAATAAAGCTGAACTGAACTGAATATCTATAATTATAAGAATAAACATTAAAACACAACATGAATAGCTCATTTTAAATATCTGCAGTCGTTTCCTCTGGCCACTGCTGAAAAGATGAAGATGTTTAGGATTTATTGTTACACAACGTCCAGCAGCCGAATAAAACTTCCCAAACACATGTTTTGAAGGCGTGTTTGATCATAGCTCAGTTTCTAGAGATCATCTGTAATGCGCAGACAGAGGTTATGCAGATGTTGCTTATCTGCAGTAATCCACAGTCCACATGAGCAGCCGTGATATTCCCACACTGTCATCTTCACTATGTGTAGCAGATTACAGATTAACCCCGTCCAGACCTGCTGCAGGCACTAATGCAGCGCAAGCACACACACACACACACACATTCTGATTGGCTGATGGTCACTCTCAGGTCTTTGGTTATTGTCAGATAAAGGCACAGGTAAAGTAGTTCCGGCAGGTTTTGAGCAGCTCCATATCCCTCCACTGAATGACTAGAGTTATTTCATAGCTACAACAATCAACAGAAGCTTTGGATGTGTGTGTGTGTGTGAGTTAGAGCGAGAGTGTGGGGGGTGAAGTCTCCCTCCCTGAAGGGAGGTTATGGGTGTGAGGGTGTATTTGTGTGTGTTACCGCTGTATGTGATGAAGCGGGTGGTGGAGTCCCCCTCCCCGAAGCGAGATATGGGTGTGAGCCGCACCACATACGCCTCAGGTCTGATCAGCTCGGTCAGGTTGTGTGTGATCAGCTCTCCTTTCTGGATGTTTCCCTCCACTGGGATCTCCTGCTCCCACCAGCGCTGCTGCCCCGTCTACAACACACACACACACACACACACACACACACACACACACACACACACACACACACACACACACACACACACACACACACACACACACACACACACACACACACACACACACACACACACACATACACACTTTCATTAACATTATTACACGGCTGTCTGGAATACTGGATTCTGATTGGTCAGTCGTGACATTACGAGGTGTGTTATTCCCAGATAACCACCGCTGAATAACACACACTCATCCAGGAACTGAGTATCACCGTCTGTAAATACCTTCATCCATATACTTACTCATATTCAGATGTGTGTCTGCTCATCTATCACACACCATTTGTTGACAGCACTGTGCCATCTAGTGTCTGAATAATGCACAGGTTAATGTATACTCCTAATTTACTTAAGATTTCATTTATGCACCATATTAATTTAAATTTGAGTAAACAAGTTATGCAATATAAACATATTCATCATCAAGTAACAATATATTCATTTCCCCTTTAATAACTATCCTGAGTTTTCCAAATTGATCATTTAGCATGACTAACAACAAAACTGGCCAAAGTACACCTCTCTATGTTCTGTAGAATATTAGCAACCTCAAACAGAAAGTGCCTCATTAAAAATGTCTTAATAGATGGTTTCTAGATGCATGTACAGCTGTGATTTAATTAATAATTATGTTTAATCTCTTTTTAATAATCATATTAGTTATTTCCCTATTTGTAGAGACTTATATTAATGCATCTGTTTTATAATACTTTAAAACTTATATGACCATTTAAATTAAAGTAACATTTATAATAAAATACACTCTCTGGCCACTTTATTAGGTACACCGTTTTGGACGCCTTTTGCCTTCAGAACTGCCTTAATCCTTCAGGGCAGAGATTCAACAAGCTGCTGGAAATATTCCTTAGAGATTTTGCTCCATATTGTCATGATAGCATCACACAGTTGCTGCAGATTTGTCGGCTGCACATCCATGATGCCAATCTCCCGTTCCACCACATCCCAAAGCTGCTCTATTGGATTGAGCTCTGGGGACTGTGGAGGCCATTTGAGTACAGTGAACTCATCGTCATGTTCACCAGTCTGAGATGATTGAGCTTTATGACATGCTGCGTTATCCTGCTGGAAGTAGCCATCAGAAGATGGAGACACTGTGCTCATAAAGGGATGGACATGGTCAGCAGCAATACTCAGGTAGGCTGTGGCGTTGATGCTCAATTGGTACTAATGGACCCAAAGAAAATCCCCCCCACACCATTACACCACCACCACCAGCCTGAACCGCTGATACAAGGCAGGATGATCCATGCTTTCATGTTGTTGAGGCCAAATTGTGAGTCGAGCATCCGAATGTGTCAGCAGAAATGGAGACTCATCAGAGCAGCAACGTTTCTCCAATCTTCTATTGTCCAGTTTTGGTGAGTCTGTGTGAATTGTAGCCTCAGTTTCCTGTTCTTAGCTGACAGGAGCGGCACCCGGTGTGCTCTTCTACTGCTGTAGCCCATCCGCCTCAAGGTTGGCCGTGTTGTGTGTTCAGAGATGCTCTTCTGCAGAGCTCGGTTGTAACGAGTGCTTATTTGAGTTACTGTTGCCTTTCTATCAGCTGGAACCAGTCTGGCCATTCTCCTCTGACCTCTGGCCTCATCATCAAGGCATTTGCGCCCACAGAACTGCCGCTCACTGGATATTTCCTCTTTGTCGGAGCATTCTCTGTAAAGCCTAGAGATGGTTGTGCGTGAAAATCCCAGTAGATCAGCAGTTTCTGAAATACTCAGAGCAGCCCGTCTGGCAGCAACAACCATGCCAAGTTCAAAGTCTCTTAAATCCCCTTTCTTCCCCATTCTGATGCTCACTTTGAACTGCAGCAGATCGTCTTGTCCATGCCTAAATGCAGTGAGCTGCTGCCATGTAAATGGCTGATTAGAGATTTGTGTTACGAGCAGTTGGACAGGTGTACCTAATAAAGTGGCCGGTGGGTGTATTTTAAACATTGAAATTGAACAGGTAAGGGTTTATGTCGGTGTTCATGTGTAAGTAAAGAAAGCAAATTGCTTTCAAATTAAACATATCATGGAACTGTATATTTCCAGGACATTTTACAGACATGCACTCCATCCTGGGTTATTTTACCCAACTTTGGGTCAAATCTGGACAAACCAATCTCTAGGGTAATTTTTTATCTGTTTGTCCATATTTGACCCAGTATTGGGTTTAAAACAACCCAACATTTTACACATTTACTACAGTATTTATTTCCGCTACACTATTAAAAGTATATGCACAACACAATACAACTCAACTGAATTTACTGAACAACAACTAAAAATCTTAAAACTGCAAACAAAACACACAGAAACAATATAAAATAAAAGCACTGAATCATCTGCATGAGCTAAAGGGCTGCTTACATTGATAAAGCATGTAAATTACTCCTACAAATAAATAATCGAAGCATTCAATCTGGAAAATAAAGGCTTTTCATTCACAGCGCATCCACAAAAGAGCCACTTCTGCTTTCTCAAAGAAGCTTTCAGCCGCAGAAGAATAATTTCTGACGATTGTGATAGAAAAAAACAACATTTTAATGATCTAAAGAAGCTTTTTCCACAATAAAAAGCCTTGAAGTGAAATCCTTCTGTGGATCTTACACAGTAAACGCTGCATTTAGAGTCACGACACACACACGGTTCACATTGAAACACTGCTTTCTGAAAACTCGACTCAACCTGTGAAGGACAGAAGTTTCTCACTTTAGAAATAATTCTGCCACCAGAGAGAGAAGAACAATGACGACGCAGCGTCTGAAATCATTAAGTAAAGCTGTGCATTTCTCATTAAGAGCTGGTGCATTACTTATGGATAGTAATCAGTTACTGTTTACTAATTACAGGACAGTCAATAATATAATTAATCCAGTACTAGCCCTAGTTTAGATTCAGAGCCTGATCTCAGGCAGCACCAGGGAAATCCAGAGCCTTGCATGAAGTGATTAATAATAATAATAATACAAACTACCCAATAATATACAATAAAAAATGAAATAATAATATACAATGTGATATTCATACAACAATATATAATATTAATATTAATAATAATAATAATAATAATATGCACTTATATTATTATATAATATTATACATAAAAATAATATACATTGTGTTATATATGCAGTAAATATATATTATTATTAATAATATTATAGTATTATAATAATAGTAATAATAATACTATACATTTATAATAACATTTATTAATAGTAATAAAAACAATACAATTAAAAATGTATAATAACAATAATATTAATATAATATAAATAATAATATAATAACATAATCATAATGAGAACTAAATATATGATTAATAGTAACAATAATATTACTATAATAATAATAAAATAATAATGTAATTA